CACGACCTGTCCTCCATTCCCACTTTCTTAAGTCCAAGAGGAATCCCCAAATGTCCACTAAGATGCACGAACTGATACACTGTATTTATTCTAGGAGTGTTTTGAGCTCTTAATTTGGTCATGTCCTCCTTTTTTCTTGAATGCCCTCCATTCTGAGCACCACTGAGAAGCAGGACTTTACAGTTACATGAGTATCTTTGTAGGTTTTTATTCTGGGGCACGTCCTCCATATTTTTCTGAGAGGTCCTCCATTTTGGGGTGCCTTGCCTTTCTTTGCTGTTAGAATATCTGGTCACCCTGAGGGAGCACCTTAAGTTTCTTTGAAAGAAAGAAAGAAAGAAAGAAAGGAAAGAAAGTCCTTCCCCAGTTGCTTTTTCTCCAAAAACATTTCTTCCCCTGAAATGAAAAGAGTTACTACAGTACTTTCTCTAGGATTTATGGACCCAATGGCAATGGAAACTTACAAGAAAGTAGAAATGATCCAATCATTTCCAGGCATGGCTTCATATGCGAGAGAGAGGAGGCGTTTAATTTAATTTAATTTTTTATTTTTTCCCCCCAGTATCTGAGAGGGACTTAACTCTTTTCATTTATAGGCAGTGGAGGGGGAGAAGAACAAGAGTTTCCTTTTGCGCCAAATGGTGGAAATGAGGAAGGGAAAAAAGGAAGAGTTTTCCCCTTCCTCTCTACTGAGAAATTCGTTTTGAATGATTATCAAGAAAGGTAGATCCATTAGGAAAGTATACTTGAGGGTTATGGTTGTCAGGGTGGTTTCTTTATGGCAGGGGTAGGCAACCTTTCCCCTTTAAGGGCCGAGGGACTTCAGCTCCCAGAAGCCTCAGCCATGTTGGCCAATAGTCCCATGTTGGCCAATAGCTCCTGGGATTCTGGGAGTTGAAGTCCCTCGGCCCTTAAAGGGGAAAGGTTGCCTACCCCTGCTTTATGGTATTCTTTCTCTATTCTCCCCCCCTTTCCAAAGCGCGCCTAAAATGGGGGGAAACTGGCCAGGCACTGAAATAGAAAGATGGAGCAAGTTGTGTACCAAATATAAGCCTCACATTCTCTTGTGAGGCTGAGAGAAAGGATGACTAAGGGCCTGTACAGACAGCCAGAAATAATCCAGTTTGAGGTCATTTTATCTGCCCTGGCTCAGTGCTAGGGAATCATGGGAACTGTAGTTTATTGTGGCACCAGAGCTCCCTGACAGGGAAGGCTCAATGTCTCAGGAAAAAAAACTACAATTCCCATGATTCCCTAGCACAGAGCCAGGGCAGTTAAAGTGGCCTCAAGATGGATTATTTCTGGCAGTCTGTATAGGCCCTAAAACAGTAGTCCATCCATCCAGGCTGAACTAAATGTGTGCTGAAGACTGTGGTCCAAAACACACTGAAGAAATAATCCAGTTTGAGACCACTTTAAGTGCCCTGTTCAATACTAGGGAATCCAGAGAATTGTTGATTTGTGAGGCATTCAGCCTTCTCTGACTGTCAGAGAGCTTGGGTGCCACAATGAACTACACTTCCCAGGATTCCCTAGCACTGAGCCAGGGCAGTTAAAGCGGTCTCAAACTGGTTTATTTCTGCTGTGTGTTCTGGACCTTTCTTTCAAGGGCACAAGATTCAGAAGAGCTTCTACAGGAATGAGAAGTATCCATCCAGGCTG